ATGGCAACTAGACATTTCACGAGGATGATTCTGTTAATTATCTCAATGGTTATCTTTGACCTGGCATGGAGCTGGAACCAGTTGCAAGGTCCCATCATGCTGGCAATTCTGCTGCCCAAAGACAACAGACGGCCATTCTCTATACATCGAGTCAGACCAGCCATTGACATAGCTGCTGAGAAGGTAAGGACACTAGTGACCACCAGTATAGAGTGTGCAACCATGTATGTGTTGATTGATCACCAGTATAGAGTGTGCAACCATGTATGTGTTGATTGACCACCAGTATAGAGTGTGTAACCATGTATGTGTTGATTGACCACCAGTATAGAGTGTGTAACCATGTATGTGTTGATTGACCACCAGTATAGAGTGTGTAACCATGTATGTGTTGATTGACCACCAGTATAGAGTGTGTAACCATGTATGTGTTGATTGACCTCCAGTGTTGAGTGTGTAACCATGTAGGTGTTAATTGACCACCAGTATAGAGTGCGTAACCATGTAGGTGTTGATTGACCACCAGAATAGAGTGTGTAACCATGTATGTGTTGATTGACCACCAGTATAGAGTGTGTAACCATATGTATGTTGATTGACCACCAGTATAGAGTGTATAACTATGTATGTGTTGATTGACCTTCAGTATAGAGTATGTAACTATGTGCGTGTTGATTGACCACCAGTATAGAGTGTGTAACCCTGTATGTGTTGATTGACCACCAGTATAGAGTGTGTAATCATGTATGTGTTGATTGGTTACCAGTATAGAGTGTGTAATTATGTATGTGTTGATTGACCACCAGTATAGAGTGTGTAATCATGTATGTGTTGATTGACCACCAGTATAGAGTGTGTAATCATGTATGTGTTGATTGACTACCACTATAGAGTGTGCAACCATATATGTGTTGATTGACCACCAGTATAGAGTGTGCAACCATGTATGTGTTGATTGACCACCACTATAGAGTGTGCAAGCATGTATGTGTTGATTGACCACCAGTATAGAGTGTGCAACCATGTACGTGTTGATTGACTACCAGTATAGAGTGTGCAACAATGTATGTGTTGATTGACCACCAGTATAGAGTGTGTAATCATGTATGTGTTGATTGACCACCAGTATAGAGTGTGTAATCATGTATGTGTTGATTGACCACCAGTATAGAGTGTGCAACCATGTACGTGTTGATTGACTACCAGTATAGAGTGTGCAACCATGTATGTGTTGATTGACCACCAGTATAGAGTGTGCAACCATGTATGTGTTGATTGACCACCAGTATAGAGTGTGTAATCATGTATGTGTTGATTGACTACCACTATAGAGTGTGCAAGCATGTACGTGTTGATTGACTACCAGTATAGAGTGTGCAACAATGTATGTGTTGATTGACCACCAGTATAGAGAGTGCAACAATGTATGTGTTGATTGACCACCAGTATAGAGTGTGCAAGCATGTACGTGTTGATTGACCACCAGTATAGAGTGTGCAACAATGTATGTGTTGATTGACCACCAGTATAGAGTGTGTAACCATGTATGTGTTGATTGACCACCAGTATAGAGTGTGCAACCATGTACGTGTTGATTGACCACCAGTATAGAGTGTGCAACCATGAACGTGTTGATTGACCACCAGTATAGAGTGTGCAACCATGTACGTGTTGATTGACTACCAGTATAGAGTGTGTAATCATGTATGTGTTGATTGACCACCAGTATAGAGTGTGTAACCATTTATGTGTTGATTGACCACCAGTATAGAGTGTGTAACCATTTATGTGTTGATTGACCACCAGTATAGGATGTGTAACCATGTATTTGTTGATTGACTACCAGTATAGAGTGTGTAATCATGTATGTGTTGATTGACCACCAGTATAGAGTGTGTAACCATTTATGTGTTGATTGACCACCAGTATAGAGTGTGTAACCATTTATGTGTTGATTGACCACCAGTATAGAATGTGTAACCATGTATGTGTTGATTGACTACCAGTATAGAGTGTGTAATCATGTATGTGTTGATTGACCACCAGTATAGAGTGTGTAACCATTTATGTGTTGATTGACCACCAGTATAGAGTGTGTAACCATTTATGTGTTGATTGACCACCAGTATAGAATGTGTAACCATGTATTTGTTGATTGACCACCAGGAAAATGAGAATAGAAACACACACACACACACACACACACACACGCGTAGACACGCACACATAAACACACACTCGCGCACCCGAATTGCAGTATATACAGAGCATTGGTATTATCTATTATCTTTTATGGTTTTGAGAGTTGGACTCTCGTTGTGGAAATGGACTAGAGAATTTGGGCTTTTACATGTAAATCCTATGTACGCATTTTACAAATGAGTTATATAGAACATAAAAGTAACAAACGTGTCAGAGAGAACATCAACAAACGTGTCATAGAGAACAATAATAAATGTACAGGGCATCAGATGTCTCTCTTCTCTTTGATAGAACATCGTTCGGGCACGTCGTGAGACATTACCCGATCACAAAGACTAGTCTTTAGGCAACACTGGAGTGGGGGAGGGGTTAATGGAAAAAAGAGTGCAATGAAGAACTGGAATGACAACATCAAGAAATGGACATGACTAAGTTATCAAACACTTGTTCTCGAGCGGCAAATATTAGAAGAACTCCACAATTGGTGCATGCACAGTAGGAGTCTACCGATCTCTAGTAGGTGTCCCCCTTTCAACAATTGTTTGCACCCGTTTACTTCCTAGATAATCTAGGTGCAGAGAGATGTGGTGGGAGGGTGCAGGCCGACCTGGGTCATGACTCAGAGGCCTCGGACTTCTCCTGCTACGCTGAAAGGACAATCGGGCAAGAAGTTAACGCGATTATTTCAGCAGGCCCGGGATATGGTTTAAATAATCACATCACTGTAGCGACGATTATACTGAATAAATGGCTGAATCTCAACCTCCGTGGCACCGGCTGGTCTTTATCCTGCGCCCACACCCACCCCCACCCCCAACCCCCCCCCCCCCCACCCCCAACCCCCCCCCCCCTTCCCGGCTCATGGTGATTGTGAGTCTACTTAAGTCTGACTGTTTCGCAGGCATTCTGACCCACCTATCTCCTCGCCTAATGTTCTCCAAGATGCAAAACTCTCAGATCGTACCCCTGGACTTAGCTATCCATGTTAGATTCTCTTCTTCTGCAGAAGTAAATTTAGACGGAGCACTAGTGTATAAATTATCGAAATTTTCGTTCTGCAAATATTTCTCAAACCAGATAGTTAACTGTATCTCGAAAAAGATCAAGTTTATTTGACGTCAAAAACTGCTGTAACATTGGAAAACAATCTTTGCCTGCAACTTTATTAAAATTTATTTTTTCCAGTTTTAAGTTTTTTTTTTTTTTAAATAAAAGCTGAAATGTTTTCCGTTAATTTCAAAAGGTGCATTTTGTTCCTTAAAGAGAGCGATTAGGATAATTCAACTTTTCGAAAACGTTGCATTAATATGCCAGTCTTGTTAAAAATATCGGCATCAGTAAAATATCCTCTTTCTTATTTGAAAAAAAAAAAAAAATTTCTTGTGGCAATTCAAAGCTACGAGATAAACATTACCACGAGAGAGCCATGGTACACACTTTTTAGTACAGCAAAGACCAGTGTTCGGCCCCATATCCTCAAAGTTTTTTTTTTTTTTTTTAAAGTTGCTTTTAATGGAGGAGATTTTATAAAAGTTACCATAATCACCAGACATTGTAACACCTTATCCAGTGCAGGACTCAGATGCTCTGACGCAAGCGCTTCTCTTTGAGGAATACAATGGCCCCACAGCGCAGTTTGGAGATTTGCTTCGAACAAGCGCCAGTAATCCTCCATAGCAGCCAGACATGGAGCCAGCTCCATCAGTACAGACACCAACCCATTTAGGCCAATTCAAATTATTCTCAGAAACAAGTGTATCAAGAATCTCCAACATGTCCTGAGCCTTCGCTCCTGCAGTGACATTTTTACAAATGTGCAGATCTTCTGAACTATTATACCATCTACAAACTGCACATAGCATATCAAATGAGCATCCTTATTAATTTATGTTGACGTAAAACCAAACCTTAAATAAGTTTCAACATATTTACGATATTTTTGTTTCTTAATTCTCGTGCCACTGGTTAAAGGCATGTTTTCTCTTTCCGCACTGTTACGTTTATTACTGTTGAAAAGTCGGTCTATTATCAAAGATACAAGAGCCAAAAATCACACAACTATTTATCAAAGACAACAAGCAAGAAGTAATCGAACTCTAACCAAATTACAACAAAGCGCTTAGTTTAACTTCCCTAGACTTAAATTGTAAGTGGAATTCGACTGACTGAATCGAGCCTTAACGCTTGCTTATGTACTTTCCTTAAAATCTTCTACAACATTCCCAAACTGTCACCAAAAATCTACGCATCTCGACGTCTCTAGTGCGATCATTTGGCGCGACTGAGAAGATGCAGCCTTGCCGGCACGCGTTTGCAAGTATAGTCTGCGCCGGTGCCTTCATTTCAGGGTCAAATAAAAACAAATCACACCAACAACAACAACAAAAATCAAACCAACAACACAAAAATCCAGATAAATTTGGCTTCTCACGTTTCTGTTTAGTTGGTGCAAATGTCTTGCTTAAATTAGTTTAAAGCTTTTACAATATTTCGCGGCACCCCTGTGCACCCGGGAGCCGCCGTGCACACTTTGGGAATCACTGTTGTATCGCATATACACCACTCGTGTGTCTCTGCTACATTCTAGAATGACCCGCTGCATTCTGTATGTGCTCTAGTTTAACCAGTTGACTTTTAGATCACTTCTAGTCCATAATCGATCACCAAGAAAACCAAACGCTGATAAAGTGGAAAAAGTATTCGATGCTGTATTTTCACGGCAAAACTGAAGGTCACACAATAACACTTGTAAAGAAGAATATTTTTGTTATGAGGTATGCAATTAAATGCAATTGTTTTTTTTAATTTTTTTTTTTTTAACGGATCAACATGATGGCACAAGGGTGTAACCCATAAGTGCTCCTTTTTACTTCTAACTGAACCCTGAGTCTGAAGAATCTCAGCCCAGTGAACGAACACAAATCTACTCAAAGTATTTCAAGATCCTCGCCTTTGCAACACTGGTGACGATCCTGAAATACTTTAGGTAGCTTTTGAACTCAAAAATTTGCCTGGGCGTTTACAAATATCACACAGGTGCTAGCTGCGGATGGACTCCTGCATGGTCAGCAAATAGAGATCAACTATGCTGACTCCATGTGCTCTAGCGCTGACGCAATGAACGAGGCAATCAATTTCTACATCAAAAACAAGTCGCACATTTTCTTTGGGCCTTGCTGTGATTACGCGGCGGCTCCAGTCGGTAGACAGACAAAGTAAGTTCCGTGTCTTTTGCAACACATATTTTTATAATACTTTGGCTGAAGTTGTAAACGATGTAATCACCGAGTCATCATCATTATTGTCATCAATGTCTACTACTGCCGTTTAGCCTTGTGGGGAGAAACATTGTTCAATTCACTGCTTGATAAACAGCATTAGCTGTTGTCATTTCGTGTTGATGTAGAAGCTCTGTAATGTTCCCAGTTCATCTTCTCTCAGACTGGTCCCTTGCTTTCACTTAAGATCATTTTATGTATTGATAGTTGTTATGGCTGCACGCTTCATAAATGACCAAACCAGTTGATCTTCTCTCTGATAATGAATTTGCTGCAGGGTGTTGTTCCTTTAGTCTGTCTGAAAATATCATTTCTAACTTTGCCCTAGATGGTTAAGTTAACGGTTTTTTCTCAGGCATCTCAATTCACACTAGTGTTAATTTTACGTTGGTTAGCCTTGTATAATGTCCAGGTCCGGCACAGCGTTGGTGGACACGTAGTATATCTATTAAAACTCGATGAAAACGTTTATAACCACGATTTCTTTCTGCCGTTTGTTTTGTTAAAAAAATAAAGATAATAAGTACTAAAAATAAATGAATGCGTTAATAAGTGAATGAAGGAATGAAGGTATAAGGGATATTGACATAACTGCTCAATACCATGCAAATCTGAAGGTCCACCATATAAATACTTTATATCCTGATCTGTGGCACGTGAGCCAAGCTGTGCCTAGGAGACCAGACCATGTTTTGCTCTGTAAGTCTGTTAGATTTACATGTCGGACTGAACTACTTCTATGCCACCAAAACGTTTCCTTCTCTGCCCCCCCCCCCCACCCCCAACCGCAATTTTCTCCACTAGGAACCTGCTTGTTGTTTTAATGTTATAAGTCAGGTTTTATTTACATTCAACAAACGTTTATTTACTTTTTCAGTGAACCTAGTTCATTCGTTTTTATCATTTTTACAGTTATTATTTTTAGATAATGTGTATTTTGATCTAAGAAATTGCTACCGACTAACGGACACTTCATGTCTGTCTGTGAGGCCACACCTTGTCCTGCATGTTAAATAGCCTGATTAATTGGTCCTAGATAATATATACGTATATATTTATTTAAAGTGTGACTTTAACCATTATCATCATCTTTATGTAGCAGGTCCTGTAGAGAACATCTTTCACACCACAGCCTGCTTGAAAGAAACTTGATCCTGCTTGGCCGCTCCCCGCCTCCTGCACTTTTCTGTCTAATATATCTGTTATGCCCCCTGTATATCTTTGTGGTGGTGGGCCCCTGTCCCTCTTGCCTAGTACCATGCCATACACTGCTGTTGTTTAAATCCACTGTGACATTTGATGGGAAAAGTATTTTAGTTACAGAGACAGGATGCTGTTTATAAACTGGTTTTCTAAGTCAAACAGATCCTTCAGAACATTGGCTTTTTCAACCGAAAGACGCATGTTGTTCTCTATTGATTGCAAGATAGTCTACAACTCACATCTGTCGTATGTGTCTACACGATTACAATTATTTCATCAGTGCCCAGCTCGCTCTTCCCCCGCACTCCTCTTTCCCCACTCATGGATTAGTTAGTTAGCTGGGTTATAATCATTGCACTCCGGACATGTCCATAGCCGCTCACATCCTCCCCTCAGTATGAACCTAAGCGTTCGATGGCTAATGGTACCAGTTATTTCTTGATTAACAAGTCCACTGATGTGCCTGGTATGCGTCTCGTTTTTTGCCCTATCGATCTTATTCCCCAGTCTGCCATTCTGGCTAGTGGTGTGGATCCACTGCCCACAAAGTCCTCCCCTTTTCCTTTTTCTCAAAGAGCAATAATACTATCAGCATAGATGTTAAATGTTGAATTAGGAATCGACATCGCATCACTTGGGACATCCCCTATAGAGCTCCGTCCCCATCTTCAACAGCCAGTGAAGAGATCTAATTCTGATGGCACCAGTAACTTTTTGATCTATAAGCTGACCTTCAATACTGATAGCGGGTCCAGCCAGCCTATTAGCTTTTTCATTTCCACAGACGCCGGCGATCCCGGGACGAAAATAAAGATGACTCAACGCGCAATGGACTTCTGTAATAATTCAAGCCATGACCTTTTCTTCCGAACCGGCCTGACCCTCCAAATCATACTCATTGATTCACCGAGTACACATGCGCAGGAGTAGTTTAGTGTTTTGAGCCAAGCGAACGCTTGTGTTACTGCCATTACGTGTTAGACCCAGTTTGTCTATAATTTTTTTAGTGTTAAAAACGCTGGGGTGCTGAAATATACAGCATGCGATATTAACTACATTGCGGAAAACCCCTGTAGCAGTGTGCGAAGACACGCGGCTCAGGAATTACCAATCAAAAATGAGCTAGTGTGTATTTGGGCGGGTATATATATATATATATAAATACATATGTCTAGCACTAGACACCTGGTGCGCACTGCCGTGGTTTGATTTGATTTGATTCAAGAACCGACATAACAGCACTCAGGGCATTCCCATAAGCGCTCCATCCCCATCTTCAGCAACCAGCGAAGAGTTCCGATACCAATGGTGCTAGTAGCATTCTGATTAAACGTCCGTCTTGCCTTTCCTCTGAGCCTCGAGCATCTGCCAGAACCTATCGTCACTCCCAACTGCATCAATCTCACCAGACTGATGATCCATCTGCTTCTCCGAACTGTACACGCTCTCCCACAAGGAACTAACCACGTCTGTCTTATCATGCATCAGTATTCTACCAAGCTGTTCAGAGCCAGCCAGTCTGTCTGCCTGTTCATTTCCCAACACACCTAAATGATCTGGTGAAACAATCCAGACAATACTCCTCACCCGTGTCCTCCGCATCGAGGCAAGCCACTCTTAACGAAGCATACCTGTTCTGATCTTCCTCAGCATGCTTTCTGAATCAGTTACAATCACGATGTGTGTGTGTGTGTGTCGTGTTCTCTAGCCAGCGAGAAGATTTAGTGACCGCCTCCACCTCCATTCTTAAGCTGGAGGTTGTGGTATCATATTCTAGGCTCTCCTGCACCAAACGTCGACCATCAACTTTTGCTAAGAAACCCCAAGCACTTCTTTTGCCTCTTGACACTTAACCGTTTGTGTAAATGATCAAATCTTCCGAGCGAGCATTATCTTGAATTAATTGCTGAATTTCTTATTCTGTGGCACCTGCTGGCCATCTCTGCATTCCCGGCTCAGTGTGATAATAACCCTGCACAAGCCTAACTGTTCAGGTGGCACTTTGACCCACTCCTCTCCTCGTCTAATGTTCTCAAGGATGCAAACTTGTCTGATTGTGTCTTCTGTCTGAGCCATCCATGACCTCACTCTTATCAGCCGCTGACCGTTAACTGCACCCAGAGCATCGTGCGAAGGGTGGTCTGTGTCTGCAGCTACCCTGAGATATGACTTCGCCTGCAGCACCTTGTGCCTACCTTCAACAGTCGGCAAACCAAGGATGTATCGCATACACAACACTGGGGTGTCTCTGGTGCAACCCAGAAGGACCCGCATTGCTGCGTTCTGTATGCACTCTAGTTTGAGACAAGCGTGGATCCGTAATCACATATGTCCAGAGTGGTCAAAGGCAAATGGGGTCTACATTGGGGTAAGATATTCTTCTCGGTCATGGCTCGCCGGCTCACACAGTATCTGATGGCTAACAAGTACATAGATACGAGTGTTCAGAAAGGTGATATTCCAGGCGTTCCTGGGTGCCTTGAACACGCGACCATGATTTGGGAGGCTATCCAGAGAGCCAAGCATGAGAGAACACAATTGCACGTTATATGGTTGGACTTAGCCAACGCCTACGGGGCAGTCCCCCATAGGCTACTGTGGCGAGCCCTTCGCATGTTTCACGTACCGGCACAGATCAATCAAATGATCGAGCAATATTTCTCTAAGCTCTCTTTGGGCTTCTCTACCTCGACGTTTACCACGAGGTGGACTGAGTTGCAGATTGGGATAGCTATGGGCTGTACGATCTCACCCATACTGTTTTTTATGGCAATGCAGATCATGTTAGACGGGGCGGCCGGTTACGGACTGGGCCTTTAAATAGGGGATCACTGGATGCCGCCATTACGTGCCTTTATGGATGACACGACTATTATAACGGGCAGCGAGGAGTCTGCCCGCACGATCCTGGAAAGATTGGACGCGGTGGTCCAGTGGAACGGTATGCAGTTCAAACCGCAGAAGTCGAGGAGTCTGTCTATCCTTAAGGGTCGGGTGGTGGCAACCAGTTTTACGGTGGCAAGGAACAAGATCCCCACGGTTCTGGAGGAACCGGTGAAGAGCCTTGGTCGCGTTTACGATTCCGAAGAGTTTAAAGTCGGCGCGAGTCTTCAGACCCAAATGTCATCGCTGTCCAGCCCGCTCTAAAGACTGGCCAGAAGTGGAGGGCCCTCGATGCGATAGAATCTGCGCAGAACGCACTAAAATTGAAGGAGATAATGGGATACACTCAAACCGACCGTCGAGGCCTAGGGCACGGGAAGGTCAATTGGTGGTCAAAGGCCTCAGCCAAAGAGCGCTGAGACATGGTAATACAAACGGTGAGGGACAACAAAAACGAGGTTCGGGTCCAGAAAGCAGCCCAGCAGGCGCAGCAGGGCCATTGAGTCAGCCTGGAGAGCGCATTGCCAAGAGTACTCACATGGGGTGAGATCTGGCGAATGACCCCGCTGCGACCGAGCTTTATCGTTCGTTCGGCGTACGATGTATTACCGTCCGGTGTTAATATGGTTAAATGGTCTGCGACCAACGATCCGACTTGCCCGCTGTGCAAAGCGAAGCAAACTCTTGAGCAAGTCCTGTCCGCGTGCAGGAAAGCCCTAGGTCAAGGCCGATACACCTAGCGACACAACAAGGTGCTAAAAGAGTTAGCAGCCGGTGTTGACCAGGCTAGAATGAGGGCCAACGCAAGGGCCAGTTCTAGCATCGTCCCCATTCGTTTCCTCAAGGCTAGGCAGGTTCAAAAAGGTAAGGTCAACCGAAACGCATTCGCTCCATCTGTGCTAGACTCTGCGAGGGACTGGTTACTGGCGGTTGATCTGCCAGGCGATGAACAGTACCCCGAGTTAATCCGGAAGACCGGTCTGCGACCTGACATAGTCCTCCACTCTGCGGAGAAACGGCAGCTCATCCTGATAGAGTTGACCGTCCCGTATGAGTCGCGTATGGATGAAAATCACCTGTATAAGCTCGAGAAATACAGTGATTTAGCAGCCGGTCTGAGGAGAAACGAGGCGTACACGGTACGGGTATTTGCCGTCGAAGTGGGAGCGAAAGGCCTCGTTTCCACGTCGCTCTACAATGTGGTTAAAGAACTAGGATTTCGCTCTAATGAACGGAAACGAACACTTAAAAAACTGGGCGAGGCAGCCGAAAGGGCCTCGAGCTGGCTTTGGACGCAACGCAACAACGTAGGGGACGGGCCTCGGTGAGCTGGTCCGGGTCTCTAGTGGAAACGGGTTTCTCACCCTTTGAAAGTCCATCGTATCCGAATTGTCTGCCAGTGTTCCTCTGCCACCTGCTAATAAAGTCCAACATGTGTCTGGTAAACCAATCGTAAGCTTGTCGCTCGGTCGTCCAGGCACGCTGACTGTTCTAATTAGGCTGCCGCAACGACTTCGTATCTCACAGTACCTTCTGCAAACCACCAAGTCGCCTTGTCTCTATCCGAAAGAAAAACACCATCCGGTAATTTCGTGCAGCAGGAAACCAGCCCTGAGCTTTATGAACTCAGGAGGGCCCACCTCCGAATGCGTCTAGGAATCGTGGGCCGAAACACTTGTCGACGAGGATAATTTCTACTGACGACTGATATATCCCTGCTGTACTTGCTCCCTGTGAGTTTATTCCTATTGTCCATCTGGCTCTTTGAGACGGTAAGCAGCCCCAGGCCATAACCAACCACTGACAGGATCAGGTGCTGATATAGTGTGAAAAGCATTCTCTGCTCTGTGTCAATTACAGCCATAGTCTTAAGTGCACAAGTCCTTTTTGGCATCTTTTCACAACACTCTCCACATGGTCCTTAAATGACAGGCTCCTGTCAAACGTAATTCACAGATACTTCAGTTTGCTCTCTCTGTTGACGTTTCTGCCATCTGCCGTGGAAGTAAGCTTACATTACTGTTTGTTTACAACTTAAGGTATGGAAGCAAATCATTTATTCTTGATGTCCACACAAACGTTGTTATCATATTCTTATTACTTGTTTATATTGCCCTTAGATACTGGAACATTCCAATGATCACAACAGCCCTTGCACGTGACTTTGCTGAGGCTAAAGCGGACAAATACCCAATGATGACCCGTGTTGGAAGCAGTATCAACAAGATGGCAGACTTTTTCGCCAAAATTGTAAGTGAGAAACAATCTAGATACTTACAATGATTTCTATGAATCCTAGAAACAGCTAATAGAATGCATTTACTTATATGTTGGAACAAAAAGTTTCACTTGCAGAAAAATATTTGCATACGTTCCTGCTCTGACTAACAATAAAAGCATAGCTTCTCGCGTACCGCGTATGTTTCACAGATGGTATAAAGTTACCACCATACATGCATGCAAGCATACATAAATGCATACTCAAGAAAACAAACCCAACTACACACCTAGCATACATACATAAATAAACAGAGACATAAAAGCATACATTGATATACACGCATGCATTCACACATATATACATACGCTAACACCCGCAGACTAAAACACAGCTAAATAGATTTACAAACACATACGACACGAAGACTTACATACATAAACCTACAAAAAAATCATCAAATATTGCCATTGTTATAAGATTTACATATACTTATACTCCAAAGAACAGAAAAGCAACATCAAGTTTCTTAGATGCACAAATGATTTGAACGTAAAATTATGGATTATTGTTAGGCCGTCATTCAGGATACATATGAATGGTGAAAATGGTGTCATACGTTGTTCTAATTAAAATAATTATTTTGGAAAAAAAAAACAACGTGTGGGATTGGGGTTGGGTTGGGTGGGGTGGGGGGGGGGGGGATTGTTTGAAGGTAAGACAATGTGCGTGTCTGTTTATTATTGAGCGTGAACACAATGAAAGCATGAACCAGCAGTGCGTGAGAAAACATTTTCCTGATCAATGTAACTGTTATCTCATATCAGTAATATTCTGTTATCGCGATTGGTCACAGGTCACCAGGTCACAATAATAGATTTTCTTTTACATTAACTAAAATAGTAGTAAGAACAATATAGGATAATGCGAAAACTGGCGGAGCCAGACAATTGAGTTGTACATGCTAGAAACAAAGCCGCTATAAATTTTTGTTAGAGCTGTGTACCCACCGCTTGAATTACCTGTAGACACTTTAACACCCTAGCAGTCATTAGTGCTCACATGGGCAGATCTGCATTCTTGTCAATCAAGAGAGCTGTTATCCTTTCACTCCAGATACAATCTAGCCAGGAGAATGTATCTAGAGTTCGCCAAGCAGGACTTTTTTAAATATTGTCCCAAGCATGAACCGGGTTACTAATGAGGTTCACGATGTCCTTGCTCAGTAAACCTAAAGGGAGTGGAATTCTAGGTACAAGTTTATTATAAGTGTCTTACCTGGGCCAAGATACAGTTCATCTGTGGTATCCCAGTGCTAAAAACACGGAGATATAATGGAAACATTTGGCTATAGGAACAGGTTCAACTGATTACCAAACTGATTATGTCGAGCACAAATAAACAAGAGTGATTATTATTGGTAAATTCCAGACTACAGTTTGTCTTAACGTGCATGTTTACATTTGTTAACTCGCTGAAGATGTTTATCCTGTATTTGCACTGACAGCATATACACTAGACTCAGCAACTGTAAATTTCGCCGAATTGACTGGGTTGTGATTTTACTCCTGCAGTATTCAAAGTCGGAGAGAATGTAGTGAGAGAATGTAGCCCTGCCTCACCCCCTTTTGCACCTCGAACCAGTCAGATGTTTCACCAGCTGCTCTGATGGCTCCTTGTTGTTCCTGATAGAGATTTTCAATTAAATGCACCAAAAGCGCTGGAAACCCCATACTTTTCATAATAGTCCACAGTTGGTGGTGCTGGACACAATCAAATGCCTTGCTATAATCAATAAAACAAGCATGAAGATCTACATTTTATTTTCTGCATTTTTCAAAAATTATTCTCATATTAAAGATGTGATCCCTAGTTCCTCTACACTGTCTGAAACCCGCTTGTGCTTCATCTAGCTCATATTGTAATTTCCTTTCAATCCTTTTCATGATAATTCGTAAGAGGATTTTGCTAGCATGACTTATTAATGCGATGGTACGGTAGTTGGAGCATAGTTTTGGATTTCCTTTCTTTGGGATAGGGATACAGACTGTTCTTTTCCACGACTCCTAACATTTAATGTTCCTAACTTTAAAGTTTTCCTTAGAGCTGTGGCAGAGTTTTCTGTTGTAGTACCGTCGGGCTTAAGGCCGTCATCACAACTACCCTTACTTGCTCTGCCATCGTTCTCTTCCCCAGTTCGCGTTTGTGATCTGCCTGGCCTTGGGCCCTCACCATCAAGTCTTTGAGTTTCATTTTTGGCTTCCATGATGAGTTTCTTGGGATAGTAATGTTGTAGTTTCCACTTGCACTCCACATCCACATGGCTTTAGACTACGTCCCCAGCCTTCAGCAACCTTTTCGATTGCTAGGGCAAGTGAGTGGCCTGCTCTGTGATGCTCCTGCTAACAGCAGAGGGCCCCAGAGGTGTCCACTTATCCCGGTGGATACTCGGTCCCCATAGCTGCGTTGGTCGCACCGCAGTGTGTTTACCGTCATCCTTGGGCTTTTCCCTTCACTGAGTCTTAAGACTCATTAAACAACTGCTAGAAATTCAAGGGAACTCGCCAATGCCTTCACTATGTTCTTCACTACAAACGTTTTCCCCTGTTTGAATCTGTGTTTGAAAACAAAACTGTTTTCAGCTTAAAGAATTCCGCTGGATCCGTGTCAAGATTCTGTATCAGCCTAAAGGTCTGGATTACCTTGCTGACCACATGTGTCACGTGACAGCAGAAAGCTTACATTACATGTTGACTGAGAAGTACAAGCATCACGTCCCATACTACAAGTTTGAGACAACCCAGGAGGTGCTTTACACCATGCAGAAACAGATAGGGACCGAGAACGCTGGTGAGTACATACATGTCACTGTCTTAGATGTTCTCTATTCTTCTGCTTTTTTTTTTTTCAGTGTTCATATCTTCACGTAGTGGCTGCAGTAAAACCCAAAATATGATAACCTATCTTGTCTACACATAGAGCAAGTACTTTGACGTATTGCGTAAATGAGCAGGGTTCCACGTCCTGTACCACAGCTAACGTTAAGTTGTCACAACAAAAAAAACCTTGATCGATTAGCCACATTGTCATTCATGTAAATCGGACTATTTTATTGTTTAACGTGGTTACATGAGTTGCCATATAGACTTTACTTACACGCTGATACACTCATAAACTACAACACAAGTTAACGTCGTGGCTATGCTGATACACTCATAAACTACAACACAAGTAAACGTTGTGTCTACGGTGATACACAAATAGACTACAACACAAGTTAACGTCGTGGCTATGCTGATACACTCATAAACTACAACACAAGTTAACGTCGTGGCTATGCTGATACACTCATAAACTACAACACAAGTTAACGTTGTGTCTACGGTGATACACAAATAGACTACAACACAAGTTAACGTCGTGGCTATGCTGATACACTCATAAACTACAACACAAGTTAACGTCGTGGCTATGCTGATACACTCATAAACTACAACACAAGTTAACGTTGTGTCTACGGTGATACACAAATAGACTACAACACAAGTTAACGTCGTGTCTATGCTGATACACTCATAAACTACAACACAAGTTAACGTTGTGTCTACGGTGATACACAAATAGACTACAACACAAATTAACGTCGTGTCTATGCTGATACACTCATAAACTATAACACAAGTTAACGTCGTGTCTATGCTGATACACTCATAAACTACAACACAAGTTAACGTTGTGTCTACGGTGATACACAAATAGACTACAACACAAATTAACGTCGTGTCTATGCTGATACACTCATAAACTATAACACAAGTTAACGTCGTGTCTACGCTGATACACAAATAAACTTCAACACAAGTTAACGTCTTGTCTGCGCTGATACACAAATAAACTACAACACAAGTTAACGTCGTGTCTACGCTGATACACAAATAAACTTCAACACAAATTAACGTCGTGTCTATGCTGATACACTCATAAACTATAACACAAGTTAACGTCTTGTCTACGCTGATACAAAAATAAACTTCAACACAAGTTAACGTTGTGTCTACGCTGATACACAAGTAAACTACAACACAAGTTAACGTCGTGTCTATGCTGATACACTCATAAACTACAACACAAGTTAACGTTGTGTCTACGCTGATACACAAATAAACTACAACACAAGTTAACGTCCTGTCTACGCTGATACACTCATAAACTATAACACAAGTTAACGTCTTGTCTACGCTGATACCCAAATAAACTTCAACACAAGTTAACGTCCTGTCTACGCTGATACACAAATAAACTACAACACAAGTTTGTCTGAAGTTTCTTTGATATGCGTAACAAATTACAGGATTGTTTCTTGTGTGATTCAAATAGTTTTATCAGTTACCAGTGCGTTAGGGGTAAGCCGTATTCGTGCAGCGGCTACACGCCCGGCTGTGGATCTGAAAGTAGTAGGTTCAGATCCATACAGGACACGACATGTTCCACAAAGACCTTGGCTCCCAGGTCTACCCAGCTGTAAATAGGTACCAGGTGAAGTTGACTACATTACTCCCCGAGTGCTGACTGGTCTATACATTAGAGGTTCAGCCTAATACGCCCAATACCTCTGGAGGCGTCATAAGAGTCCTTTGATTTTTAAACTGTGTTAAATGTTAACAATGTAATTGATTAATCGCTTTTGTCTGATTAGTTTTATGACGTACGACTGCTGATGTCTCAAACTTGACCTGACTAGAGCGTGCGGTAAACACAAACATTGTGATATGACCATTTAATTATGGATTAGTAAACCCAGACACTGGGATATGTCGGTTAACCACTGGTCAGTAAACTCAGACACTGGGATATGTCTGTTTAATCACTGGTCAGTAAACCCATACACTATCATGTCAATTTATTCACTGGTCAGTGAACACAAACACTGTGATATGTCTGTATAAGCACTGGTCAGTAAACTCATGAACCAGCATAAGTCTGTTTAATCACTGGTCAGTGCACACAAACACTGTGATGTGTCTGTATAATCACAGTGAACACAAACACTGTGTTATGTCTGTATAATCACTGATCAGTGAACACAAACAGTGAGATACTTCTGTTTATTCACTGGTTTGTCAACACTAACGGTCTGTGCATGTCTGCAGTTTTAAACAACAGATTAGATAGTGATAACGTCCAGTGACGTTAAGTTACTCATAAAACTTGCGGAACAGCACACGTGATTTTCACCAGCAGATCATGAAGGCACAGTTTGCTATATCTAACATCTAACTATACCACATTATGTTTAGCACCTAACTGTACATATCTAACATCTAACTATAACACATTATGTTTAGCACCTATCTTTACATATCTAACATCTAACTATAACACATTATATTTAGCACCTATCTGTACATATCTAACATCTAACTATAACACATTATGTTTAGCACCTATATGTACATATCTAACATCTAACTATAACACATTATGTTTAGCATCTATCTGTACATATTTAACATCTAACTATAACACATTATGTTTAGCATCTATCTGTACATATCTAACATCTAACTATAACACATTATGTTTAGCACCTATCTGTACATATTTAACATCTAACTATAACACATTATGTTTATCATCTATCTGTACATATCTAACCAAACGAGCCATGTTTACACATAACAACCATATTGACAGTTGACAGCTTTTGTACCCGATTTCAGTTTGACACAATATTTTTTTAGATTTTTTTTAAATGTCAAGAATACTATACGATTCTTCTGATTTAAATGTTTACCTTATCAAGACAATGAGGAAAACAGTGGGAGAACAGTAGAGATTTTACTGAGTTTCCTGTAGATCTGAAACATACTTTGACAATTCAGTATGGGTGAAAGATTTTACAAGTTGGTAGTGTGAAGTGCCGCGAAGAGGGTCTTCAATATCCAATAAGGCAACATTTTATGTACTGAATTACATTCAGTTTTTCCTTTTTCTTATTCTACCCATTGATTACGCATTGTTTAATTTGACATTTAACTGACACTCAAAGAAGTAGAAAAGCGATTGTGATGTACAATGTGTGTATTGTCTTTACATTTTGTTGTTGCTATATTTAGTGAAACGCCTAAAGGACAGTTGTCCTGGCTTTGAACTAAAACAGACACTGTTTGATCGTCATCACTACAAGGATGTCAAGTTGTTATTATACCGTCGTCTTCTAGAATAACAACTATACTTTTTAAAAGCTGGTTGACAATGGTCAACGGTACCAGACAGCTAAATGTTTTTTGCTTGAGTGTTCAATGCGATACTGCTTTGTCGGAGGCTTTCTTTTGGTTAGTTAGTCGACAGTCATTATTAGTAGAACAGCCAGGCTTTCAACCTATCAGTCTTCAAATGCCTTCCTCAGTATGTTTTCAAAGCTGTATGGGTTATAAACAGTTTTCTTTCCGGAAGCCAGGATTTGTTTTGAAAATCTCTACATAATAATTATGTTTCTTTTTTCTTTCTTAATTTTGTTGAATGTTGAATTAAGAGTCGACAGCATAGCACTCGGGATATGCGCTCCGTCCTCATCTTCAGCAGGCGAAGAATTCCAATTCTGATGAGACCAGTAACTGATTGTATATCCGTCTTGCCCTTCCCCTGAGTGTTGAGCGTCGGTCAGATCCCCTGGTGACTCCTCGCAGAGCCACTTCCTCAGATCGTAATGATCTATCATTGCCTCGGCATTGGTCACTCGCTCTCGAAGGACCCTCACAATATCTAGCTTTTCATACTTTAATTCACCACCAAGTGGTGCAGAACTGGCCAAACTATCTGCCTGCTCATATTCCAACACACGGGCATCACCTCGAGAAAAAATCCAAAAGATGGTTTGTTTAAAAAAATTCTTGTTTTAACTCTTTTATTTATCATAATTTATGTTTCCATCTGTTGCTGACTTGTATTCACTGTGTGTTCTCAGATTTATATTGTATGGCATTTCAAACTATAGTAAAAACAGTAAATGAACGTATTTTATATTTTGTGGATGAAAAGGGATTTTACTGCTTGGAGTCAAGACAAAAGGCATTTATTGTGTTCATTTTCTTATTGTCTATACCTTATGGTACTGGTATTATGTTCTTTCGATATCCTTCTGTCTTGAGTACTGTAAGCTTTTTTTCCCTGATACACGGTCATTACAAGAATTAAACAGTTATTGCTTGATGCTTTATTCTTCGCCCGCCATTCAGTAGGGTGGTCTGTGTTCAAACCCATCCAAAACTGAATTGTTTTGGGTAACTTTGGCTTGCAGATAGACCCAGCTTGAACACAGCACCAGGACATTTGTTGACAGGTAAGGGCAACCGGTGGGATATTGATCACATCATGGACAATGATATTCTAAGCAACGTGAGCTGCCAGGAAAATCCGCCTTAAAATAAGCTCTATGAAATGCAACAGAAATAAAGAGGTACTGCATGAAAATGAACATATAATCCACCGATTATCAAATCTAGGATCATCTAACTAACATAATCCTTGACCCATTAGCGTCGTCGAGGTGTATTGATGGAAGTACAAGCACATAAAACCTGCCATCTTTCTCTGTCTTCTGCTTAATAAATAAGTGTGTTATCACACTTGGATGTTGTCATAACAGGTTCTTCTTTGCCTTCCTCTTCTTCGACTACCCCCACCCCCCTTTCCTCCCCTCAATGTTCCTTCAAGTAGTCTTTGCAACCGAATCATATCTCAGCAAGTGCCCAAACCAAGCTAGCTTGTGACGTTTCGCCACTGCCAAGAGAGGCTCCTGATGTCCCGCAATTTGTATATTTAGTCTCTTACATATTTATTAGTGTTGTGTTACAAATAACGAATTCGTAAAATACGTCTGTAGCATTTATATTGGAAAGCCTGAATCCTCCTTTCCCATTTTCACAGTGAGAGTCCGACTCTCACATCAGTAAAAGAAAATCGACAACACTAGTGATTTGTAAATGACCTTGACTGCGATGCTGATTTTGCTCTTCTACATCGTATTCAGCTGCGACATCGCGGCTGCTGCTATATCAAGTCCTGTCTTGATCTGTTTGGTACAGCTACCATCGTTACATATGTGGGTGCCACGATCTCTACAGGTTTTTACTTCTTCTATTTTTTTCCTTTTATCTGTATGTTAGTGAGTACTTGGTTTTTGCGACTATTTAACAAAATCTTGCTTTTCTTGGCAATAATTTTTATGCCATATTTCTTCTTCTTCTTCTTCTGCCTTTCTATCCCCCAATGGAGCATAGGCCCTCAACCAACTCACGCCAAGTCGTTCTATCCTTCGCCATTGCATGGAGCTCTCCCCATGTCCTCCCAGTCTTTCTAACCTCGTTCTCTAGTTCTCTTCCCCATGTGTTTTTTTATGCCATATTTATGCCATATTTACCACAGGTTATCTATAATTTTGTAGTAAGTTCTTGGAGTTCTGCTTCGAAACCAGCCATAAGATCTATTTTGTCTGCAAACCATAAATTACACAGTTGTCTCCCGCCAATGGACTTTTTTCATGATTTTTTAGTGTTCCTCTCTACGTGTGTTTCAAATACAGACAGAAGGACATGGCAAAGTGTGCAATCTTGTCTGAATCCCACACTAGTTTTAAATTAATTTGCCTGTGTCATTTTGAATGAGTACTGCACTGATTGCATCTTTATAAAGTATTTCTGTGGTGTCTATACCTTCTTATCGACGTTGAAATTTCTCATTATTTACCAGAGCTCAGCATGCCAAACACACTTAGTGAAGTCAATGAAGTTATGGAAAAGGTTGCGTTGATGTTGTATGTGTTTTTCTATCATCGTTTTAATGTTGAAAATGTGTTCTGTCGTGCTTCTGTTTTTCCGGAAACCTACCTGCTTTATGGCTCGTATTTCTTCAGATTTTGCGTTCAGTCTGTTTAGTATCTTTGGCATTATTTTGTTTGCTTAGGTGATAAAACTAATAGTTCTATAATTGTTGTAGCTTGTCAGATTTCTTGTCTTTGTCAGTAGTATCACAACGATTTTGTGTCCATTAAGTCAGCCACTTCTTTGTGACGCAAAATATCTGGCACACTTCTGTCATCACCTTAGTTACGTGTTCCCATCTGTATTTGGAAAGTTCAACTGGACATTGTCCACACCTGGCTATTTCCCTTCTTTCAGTGAACGTATCGCTTCCTCAACATTTCAGCGTGGCCAACTTTTCCCATGCGATGGTTTCTGGGACTGCAGTGTCAGGCCCTGCTTCTTTATTTCTTTGTCTTTACAATATTCCGTCCATCTCTCCAATATTGCCGTTTTCTCATTAAGCACTTGTCTGTTCTTATCCTCTGAAATAAGAATATAGGAGTAATATCTAAGATCATCATTGTAGAACACTTAGTAAAATCAATGGCGGCGCAAAGACTTTGTTCTAACGATCATCACCACCACTAAAATAAAAATACAATCAGAAATATTCAGTGTATTTGCGATCATAAATGGTGTGACGTCTCCACAAAGGAGATTAGCCGCAGCGTACGAACTACAGGTTTTAAAGATATTAAATAGTGTGGTCCGTGTTTTTTCACGGTGCGACTCTCGTACCAGTGTCTACATGCCATAATAAAGTGAAGCAACAACAGTGCACACCTTAGACTGTTTGCATCGTAATGGTGCTGGTGTTTTGAAGGGAGGGTGCTGAGACATTCACTGGTTCGCTGTATATACATTTACTGCAAAAGCTATTCTATTCTACTTCTCTCCTCCGCTAAACTGGGTTATTCAGGGTCAGTGACCAGAGTTTACTGCCATCATTCAACATTTAAACTGGAAATATTTTCTGAGTTTCATACACTCGGGAAATAACCCTAGCATCATGTACATGTGATTTTGTCTACTGACATTGTCCCTCCCCTTCTCTGAATTTATGACGGGACATTCCAGGTTTCGTTACCTATTCTTTATAAGTTTCATGCTCAGGGTATTCCCGCAAATGTTTCTAGGGAGTCGACTTTAGGTACGCCTTTTTCTAAAAGCGTTTACATAAGTGTTAGTTCGTTGCTCTCTTTTTATTTCCTGTCCCTGTCCCATTTGACAAACTGTAAATGGCTGTGTTTTCCAAGGCCACCCAAGGATGTCTTCGATGTGCTGCAGGACATCAAGACTCGTCTTCTCTCTCCTGCTTACATTGCAATTTCATTGGAACTGTTGTTGCCTTGTTGAAAAGTGTTGTATTGTCATTCGTTGCTAACCCATAGATGTTTCATTAAGTTTACTGACCCCTACAGTTTAGGCCTACAGGGATAACATTGCAATAATACATTCATACGAATGTACTGACATACATACATAGCTAGAGAAGATACCTTTTGTTTCAAAACTTCTGGTAAGTTTACGCATGTTCACAAATTTATTTTTTTTCGTTTGAAACATATTGCCCACTTTAGTATGCAAATCGTTCAGTTTGATTTAATAAAACATCCGGGGGGGGGGGGGGGGGGGCTGGTAATAGTATAGCTGGACATTAAATTTTATATTTGAATGTATGCATATATGTGAATTTCAGAACTGTTACACACAAAACCAGCTTCTATTTACGTACGTGATTGGCCTTTTCTTTCCAATTGATGACTCCAAGTATTTGTAGGGTTGTTTGTCAGTTATTTCCCCCCCCCCCTCCCCGTCTCTCCTTGGCATGCCGCATGGTTTATTCCCATAAAAACTCTTTTGTGCTCGCAGTTTTGGTCTCTTTGCTACATATGCCAATCGTTCTTGTTCCTCTGCTTTTTTAATAATACCGCTCTGTTCTCAAAAAATGCGTCATAAGACTTTGTCCCATTTACTTGTAAATAAGGGTGTGCATGTGTGTGTATGTATGTATATATATATATGTGTGTGTGTATATATGTATGCGGTACTGCTACGAAAAGTAGCACCGGTTAACGATTACAGTGGTTTGGTCAATGTTTATACACCGTCTCCCTAAGCACTGTAAAATAGCAGTGTGAACTCCAGGGGCTTCTCTTGGGGGGAAGCAAGGAGGGTAACTCTGTCATTATCCTACTGTACTAGAGGCAAAGCCTAAGGGTCAATATTGTATTAGAGGAAACGGAACAGATAACTAATAAAGGATAATAAGGTAATTTACTCCTTTAAACTCTCTAGACTCCGAACCTACAAGAGCTCTAACAAATAATGTTACGTAGCGAGTGGGAGCCTAAACCCAACCTTAAGCTGCCTCAGTAACAAGAAAAAAAGAGAGACTATTTCGTTTAGGCGAGGGTAAGGCCATAGTGCCTTACCTAGACTGGAAATATTTTGTATACAGTCTTGATAGCAGTACCAGTAAACTAGGCACACTAACTACAAGTCCCAATCAGAAATAAACAACTCGAACTACAATTATCACATTCAACATCTGTTTATTTTATTAAACATAAGACTGAGTTCTCCAGAAAAAAAAATGCATTACACTTCACAACGTGTTCGAAAATACCATAATTACAGATGGAAACCTATCTATGCCTACACACATCAACCAGCGCTGCGCTAAACCAGTGAACGTTACGAGAAAATCAGAATAGTGTGTTACTGGCCGGAACAGCAGAGGCCATAGAGAGCGAAGGGACAGCTTCCATTTCTTACATCACTTTTTGACCCCGAGTTTGCCAGGTTCTTAGTTTGTTTTACACCTAATCAAAACTAATAAAACAGCCGCCCTTGGCCTGTCACACTACTTTTTCAATTTACAACCAGTTGTGTGCCTGTTGAGATATTTAATACAAAAAGAGAGTAGTGAGAGCTATCAATCCAACAAGGATAACTGTCAGTTGTCAAATCTTGTCTCCCCTTCACGAGGGACGATGCTCATTCTGCTTGTCGTCTCGTGCAGTGCTGTTCCAGACTCATCAATCTCTTGCCACTAAATATTGAATATACTGATACCGACACTTCCAAGACTGAGTTTACACTGAATTGCACTATCTCATTTCTGTGACCGCCCTTCTGTTTATGACTTTGACCTCAATTCAGAAATTCGTCATTTGGACATCTTCATCAGAGAGCTTGCTGACAGAGAATTACATAGTTGTGTCTGACTTTAGTGTATCTTGATTGATTTAAATAGGGATTGGATCCCCCACCCCCGGGTTGGGGTGGGGTGGATCGTGGTGCCGAGAGAAATTATCTGTATCTATCTCAGACTGGGTTTCCGAGTTCTAACAGCTGATGCCAGGCTGCCAGTCATGTCCTGTCATGAGACTGAAGAGCCGGCATTGTTTGGGTACCCTTAGACAGTTTGAAGATACTGGACAGGGGAAGCAGGTAGTATCATAGTGCAAGCTATATATGTGTGTGTGTGTGTATGAGTGTGTGTGTGTGTGGTGTGTACACATAAATGAGTGTGTGTGTGTGTGTGTGTGTGTCTGTCTGTCTCAGCGTTTTTAAATTAGTCTAATATATATATATATCATTATCATCAGGTGCCTTGCCGACTGGCGTGGGCGATCATGCCTCTCCATAATCTGCGATCTCCTGCAGCATGTATCAGTTCGTGTGGTGACACACCTCCATGCGATGCAACAAGACTGTCAAGCATCTTCTCTCGTTGTCTTCCTCTATCTTTCCTTCCACATATCTTTCCAGTGGTCACAACATGTTCTATTTTCCCTCTTCTCATAACATGGCCGAAAAATGATGACTGTCTCCTTCTGATGTCTGTGATAAGTTGTCTTCGGGCTCCCGCCTCTTCCAAAACCTCTTGGTTGCTCTTTTTGGCTGTCCAAGGTATTCTAAGCATTCTTCTGTAAAACTACATCTCCGAGGCCTCCAGAAATTGTTTGGCCTGGCTACCGATTGTCCAGGATTCACAGCCATATGTCAACACTGGATGTATGTAGCAAGCAAGAATTCTTTTTCTAATTCTCAATGACAAGGATATATTGCACAAAATGTTTTTCGCTTTATAAAATGCAGTTTTTGCCTGTCCTATTCTGTTTCTTATTTCAGTTATGCATCTTCCATCTGATGTTATCCATGTGCCCAGATACTTAAATTTCTGCACTTGTCCTAAAATAACACCATCAACTTTTATTACACACATAGGTATAATTCGTTTCTCTGATACCACCATTACTTCTGTCTTCCCATTATTCAAATTGAGGCCCATTCTTCCACTTTCTAACACCACAATGTCTATCATTTCCTGTAGTTCTTTCTGTCTTGTTGCTATCAAGACTGTGTCATCAGCATAACGTAAATTGTTTATATTGTGCCCACCAACCACAATTCTGGACATACCAATTAAAGCTCTCATTATATATTCACTGTATATTGAAAACAAATCAGGTGACAGTACACATCCTTGTCGTACGGCCCTCTTTATGCTTTGAAATGTACCTAAACAGTTGTTAATTTTTATAGCTGCTTTTTGCCTCCAATACATATTATGTTTTATTCGTAAATCTTTCCCATCAATGTTTAATTTTTCCAACAGTTTGATTACTTCTTCATGCTTCACACAGTCAAATGCTTTTGTATAGTCTATGAAGCATATGTACAATTCAGTCTTTACTTCTATGGCTCTTTCTGACAATGTCCTTAGGATGTACATGGCATTGTTTGTACCTTTTCCTTCTACAAATCCACATTGTTCATCGCTGATTTCTGGTTTAATTTTGTTTCTTATTCTTCTCACAATTATTCTCAGGAAAATCTTAGTCATGCGACTCATAAGACTTATTGTGCGATGGTCTTCACATTTTATAGTTCCTGGTTTCTTAGGCAGAGCTAAAAATATGGATTTTAAAAGGTCGTTTGGAATATACCCACTATTATAAATACCATTTAAAAGTTTAGTTATTATTTCAATTCCAAAATCTCTCAGTGCTTCGATTTCTTCCAGTGAGATGTTGTCTGGCCCGGGTGCTTTTCCTTTCTTCATATGATGTATTGCATCCTCAACTTCTGCAGTCATTATTGGTGGACCATCATTGTTGGTCTGCAGTTCTACATCTTTTCTATTATCATCATACAATTCCCCTATTTACTCTGTCCATCTGTTAATTGTATTACTATGTCCCATTAATAAGTCACCATCTTTTGATTTCAAACATCCAGTGCTGTTACGCGTCAACTTTCCTGTTAACATATTTATCTTTTGGTACATGGAATGTGAGTCTTTCCTGTTGTTTTCCTCAATCTCTGTACACATTTGATTCAGCCAGGCTTCTTTAGCCACTTTGCATTTGTTCACTATTTCTTTTTGTATTCTAGAGTATTCTTCTTTATCATTCTTTTTCTTCCTTCTTTCATCCATCAACTGCAGAATTTCGGTTGACATCCTTTTCTTTTTTGCAACTCTATGGGTTGGTGGGATTGTCACTTTTGATGTCTGCTGAATTTACTCACGCAACATATCCCACTGTTCATCAACAGTCTGTTTAATTTCCATTGCATTATACCGGCTTTGTACAGTGACATTGTACTGGTCCTTAATTTCTTTATCCGTTCTAAGAATTCCTAAATTTAACTTGATGTTCTGTGGTGTTTTTCTAATGTTCTTTAGTTTTATTCTAATTTTTCCTACAACTGGAACATGGTCACTAAAGCAATCTGCTTTATATATATATATATATAGTCTCCGTTTCACTTAAGGAGTCACTACACCCACACAAAAAAACAACAACTTTGGTGTAGAGAAATGTATTAGTATGTGACAGGTAATTCAAAAACGGCTTGTGAAAATTATGAAAAAGAACCAGAGCCTTTACTGGATAAGGTACGTTAGGCAATACACAGCCTGAAGAAAGGAAAGTCACTGGAGTGCGACGAAATACCAGCAGAACTACTTCAAGCAGGAGGGGAGGCCAGCGTCTGAATCTACCATGCACTATGCTCGAAGATCTGGAACAGTGGCATTTGGCCTAAAGAGTCTATATAGCTCTCTCAAAGAAAGGAAATCTGAAACTATGCTCCATATGACTGGTTCGAGATGCAAAAGATGCTGAGGCAGGGATGCATTCTCTCACCATACCTATTCAATATATACTCAGAAAATATAAAAAGAAATGTCAAAATGACCAGACTTCTGACAGTTATGATCCGCTCAAAATTGGTGGCAACCCTATTTTGGAACTCCGCTACGCAGATGACACAGTCCTTCCTTTCGAACAGCGTAAAGGGAATAGAAAATTTAATTTTTGTCTGTCCAAAAGCACAGTGAAGATCAAAATCTGTTCTTGAATTTAAGGAAACGAAAATACTATCCACAGATAAAACTGGCTGTCACCCAAAAATAACAATAAATGACGAAGAAATTAATAATGTCACAAACTTTGAATATCTAGGCACTATAATAAACAGCAATGGAGACTGTTCATCAGAAATTAAAAGGAGGATGGCCATAACAATGCAAAGTTTAAACAGCTTTAAAAGTCTATGGTTAAGCACCAGCAAGGAGATCACAATTAGAATTTTGAGAGCATGCATCTTCCCTGTGGCTACATACGGATGTGAGTCGTGGACAATCTCTCAGTCCTTAAGAAAGAGAATAGGGGCTTTTGAGATGAAATGCTATAGAAAGATTCTCAGAATATCTTGGACAAAGAAGAGTAGAAATGTTGACATCTTAAAAGATCTGAACATCAAGGAGGTTTGGTTAATAAACAGCATCCTTTCTCGGAAGCTGAAATATTTTGGTCATATCAGGCACCACCACAGATTGGAAAAAATTATAACAGAAGGCATGGTACCAGGAAGGGGGCGGGGGAGGGGGGGGGGCAGGGGCCGACCGACACGACGATGGGCACAGGATATAAGTGACTCCTTGAGTATGAAAGTACATGAGGCGGGAGAACTGGCGAGTGACTGAGTTTCTTTCAGGCAGACTGTGATGAGAGCGACGTTCTGCAAAGGACCTACAACATGATGATGATATTTATGTCATAGATTAAAACAAAAAAATGCCGTGCTTGAAATCCATCAAGCTGTGCACTTTTGCCGGAAATGATATGTCTAGTGTTGTTACATGGGCTCCTTAAACATTAATCACAAGCATACAGCTGTGGTGAGTCAAAAACATGAATCACAAGCATACAGATGTGGTGAGACAAAAACATGAATCACAAGCATACAGCTGTGGTGAGTCAAAAACATGAATCACAAGGATACAGCTGTGGTGAGTCAAAAACATGAATCACAAGCATACAGCTGTGGTGAGTCAAAAACATGAATCACAAGCATACAGCTGTGGTGAGTCAAAAACATGAATCACAAGCATACAGTTGTGGTGAGTCAAAAACATGAATCACAAGCATACAGCTGTGGTGAGTCAAAAACATGAATCACAAGCATGCAGCTGTGGTGAGTCAAAAACATGAATCACAAGCATACAGCTGTGGTGAGTCAAAAACATGAATCACAAGCATACAGATGTGGTGAGACAAAAACATGAATCACAAGCATACAGTTGTGGTGAGTCAAAAACATGAATCACAAGCATACAGCTGTGGTGAGTCAAAAACATGAATCACAGCATACAGCTGTGGTGAGTCAAATCAAGCATAATCTGTGGTGAGTCAAAACAGAATACAAGCATAAAGCTGTGGTGAGTCAAAAACATGAATTACAAGCATACAGCTGTGGTGAGTCAAAAACATGAATCACAAGCATACATCTGTGGTGAGTCAAAAACATGAATCACAAGCATACATTTTGTATTTTTTTATCACTATTTGTGTCAGATTTTCTCATGCTTACTGTGTTCTCAAATTTGTTTTGTTTGAGATCCTAAAATGTCTTAAAGTCAGAACATTACACACACACGGGCGCGGTCGCACACACACATAACCACTCACACAAACCTATTGTGAAATTTAATTTCACTGTTAGAATTAAAGAAAATGCGAATATATCGATTTCTTCGTCTCATGGTGCATATAGTGATGAGACATTAGTATTTATTCTCTCTCTCTACGTTCTTCCGTCTGGTGCAGTGACAGTTGCTTGTGACACAAATGATCCTCCACGCCAGGATGACAAACTCACAGTCATAAACACGTGTATTCATACCATTAGTTACTATAGAAATTGGTGACCGATCAACTTTGCTATCGATGACTGGACATTCAGTCAGATCCCGGATTAGCACAATGTCTAGATTACTGTGATGTACTGGCCGGCTACAGTCGCTGGTCACACAGTGTTATCTACGTTACCGGGAGATGATCACATTCAGGTGTTACTGTTAGACCTTTCGCTCTCTCTCTCTCTCTCTCTCTCTCTCTCTCTCTCTCTCTCTCTCTCTCTCTCTCTCTCTCTCTCTGTGTG